AATACAGCAACCGAGGCTATAGCTGAGAGGAGAGCAACCGAGGCTATAGCTTTGAGTACAGCAACCGAGGCTATAGCTTTGAATACAGCAACCGAGGCTATAGCTGAGAGGAGAGCAACCGAGGCTATAGCTTTGAGTACAGCAACCAAGGCTATAGCTTTGAGTACAGCAACCGAGGCTATAGCTGAGAGTACAGCAACCGAGGCTATAGCTGAGAGTAGAGCAACCGAGGCTATAGCTGAGAGTAGAGCAACCGAGGCTATAGCTGAGAGTAGAGCAACCGAGGCTATAGCTGAGAGTAGAGCAACCGAGGCTATAGCTGAGAGTAGAGCAACCGAGGCTATAGCTGAGAGTAGAGCAACCGAGGCTATAGCTGAGAGTAGAGCAACCGAGGCTATAGCTGAGAGTAGAGCAACCGAGGCTATAGCTGAGAGTAGAGCAACCGAGGCTATAGCTGAGAGTAGAGCAACCGAGGCTATAGCTGAGAGTAGAGCAACCGAGGCTATAGCTGAGAGTAGAGCAACCGAGGCTATAGCTGAGAGTAGAGCAACCGAGGCTATAGCTGAGAGTAGAGCAACCGAGGCTATAGCTGAGAGTAGAGCAACCGAGGCTATAGCTGAGAGTAGAGCAACCGAGGCTATAGCTGAGAGTAGAGCAACCGAGGCTATAGCTGAGAGTAGAGCAACCTAGGTTATAGCTTTGTGTACAGCAACTGAGGCTATAGCTTTGTGTACAGCGATCGGGGCTGTAGCTTTGTGTACAGCGACCGAGGCTATAGCTTTGAGTACAGCGACCGAGGCTATAGCTTTGAGTACAGCAACCGAGGCTATAGCTTTGAGTACAGCAACCGAGGCTATAGCTGAGAGTACAGCAACCGAGGCTATAGCTGAGAGTACAGCAACCGAGGCTATAGCTGAGAGTACAGCAACCGAGGCTATAGCTGAGAGTACAGCAACCGAGGCTATAGCTGAGAGTACAGCGACCGAGGCTATAGCTTTGAGTACAGCAACCGAGGCTATAGCTTTGAGTACAGCAACCGAGGCTATAGCTGAGAGTACAGCAACCGAGGCTATAGCTGAGAGTACAGCAACCGAGGCTATAGCTGAGAGTACAGCAACCGAGGCTATAGCTGAGAGTACAGCAACCGAGGCTATAGCTGAGAGTACAGCGACCGAGGCTATAGCTTTGTGTACAGCGACCGGGGCTATAGCTGAGAGTACAGCGACCGAGGCTGTAGCTGCGAGTACAGCGACCGAGGCTGTAGCTGCGAGTACAGCGACCGGGGCTGTAGCTGCGAGTACAGTGACCGGGGCTGTAGCTGCGAGTACAGTGACCGGGGCTGTAGCTGCGAGTACAGTGACCGGGGCTGTAGCTGCGAGTACAGTGACCGGGGCTGTAGCTGCGAGTACAGCGACAGGGGCTGTAGCTGCGAGTACAGCGACCGGGGCTGTAGCTGCGAGTACAGCGACCGGGGCTGTAGCTGCGAGTACAGCGACCGGGGCTGTAGCTGCGAGTACAGCGACAGGGGCTGTAGCTGCGAGTACAGCGACAGGGGCTGTAGCTGCGAGTACAGCGACCGGGGCTGTAGCTGCGAGTACAGCGACCGGGGCTGTAGCTGCGAGTACAGCGACCGGGGCTGTAGCTGCGAGTACAGCGACCGGGGCTGTAGCTGCGAGTACAGCGACCGGGGCTGTAGCTGCGAGTACAGCGACCGGGGCTGTAGCTGCGAGTACAGCGACCGGGGCTGTAGCTGCGAGTACAGCGACCGGGGCTGTAGCTGCGAGTACAGTGACCGGGGCTGTAGCTGCGAGTACAGCGACCGGGGCTATAGCTGAGAGTACAGCAACCGAGGCTATAGCTGAGAGTACAGCAACCGAGGCTATAGCTTTG